ATCGGTGACAAAAAAGGAGAAGCATCAGATTACGAAAATCTAGGAACTGTGTTCCAGTCTGTTGGTCAATATACCAAGGCTAAAAAATATCTTCAGAAAGCACTAGTGATCAAACAAGAAATCGGTGACAAAAAAGGAGAAGCATGTGCTTACGTAAATCTAGGAACTGTGTTTTTATCGGTTGCTCAAAATTCCAAGGCTGAAGAATACCTTCAGAAAGCATTATTGATCAGTAAAGAAATCGGTGACAAACAAGTAGAAGCATATGCTTACGGAAATCTAGGAACTGCGTTTTTATCTGTTGATCAATATTCCAAGGCTGAGGAATACCTTCAAAAAGCACTACTGATCAAACAAGAAATCGGTGACAAAAAAGGAGAAGCATTAGATTACGGAAATCTAGGAAGTGTGTTTTCATCTGTTGGTCAATATACCAAAGCAGAAAAATACCTTCAAAAAGCACTAGTGATCAGGAAAGAAATCGGTGACAAAAAAGGAGAAGCATCAGATTACGGAAATCTAGGAACTGTGTTTTTATCTGTTGGTCAATATACGAAAGCAGAAGAATACCTTCAGAAGGCACTGGTGATCAGGAAAAAAATCGGTGACAAAAACGGAGAAGCATCAGATTACGGAAATCTAGGAAGTGTGTTTTTATCTGTTGGTCAATATTCCAAGGCTGAAGAGTACCTTCAAAAAGCACTATTGATCGGAAAAGAAATCGGTGACAAAAGAGGAGAAGCATCAGATTACGGAAAACTAGGAAGCCTGTTTTTATCTGTTGGTCAATATTCCATAGCTGAAGAATACCTTAAAAAAGCACTAGTGATCAGGAAAGAAATCGGTGACAAAAAAGGAGAAGCATCAGATTACGGAAATCTAGGAACTGTGTTTTTAGCTGTTGCTCAAAATTCCAAAGCTGAAGAATACCTTCAGAAAGCATTATTGATCAGTAAAGAAATCGGTGACAAAAAAGGAGAAGCATCTGCTTATGGAAATCTAGGACCTGTGTTTAGATCTGTTGGTTTATATGCCAAGGCTAACGAATATCTTCAGAAAGCACTAGTGATCAGGAAAGAAATCGGTGACAAAGAAGGAGAAGCTTCAGATTACGGAAATCTAGGACCTGTGTTTTTATCGGTTGGTCAATATTCCAAGGCTGAAGAATACCTTCAAAAAGCACTAGTGATCAGGAAAGAAATCGGTGACAAAGAAGGAGAAGCATCAGATTACGGAAATCTAGGAGGTGTGTTTTCATCTGTTGGTCAATATTCCAAGGCTGAAGAATACCTTCAAAAAGCACTAGTGATCAGGAAAGAAATCGGTGACAAAAGAGGAGAAGCATCAGATTACGGAAATCTAGGAAATGTGTTTTTATCTGTTGGTCAATATTCCAAGGCTAAAGAATACCTTCAGAAAGCACTATTGACCAGGAAAGAAATCGGTGACAAAAAAGGAGAAGCATCTGATTACGGAAATCTAGGAAGTGTGTTTTCATCTGTTGGTCAATATACCAAAGCAGAAGAATATCTTAATAAAGCACTAGTGATCCAAAACGAAATCGGTGACAAACAAGGAGAAGCATCTGCTTACGGAAATCTAGGAACTATGTTTTTATCTGTTGGTCAATATACCAATGCTGAAGAACACCTTCAGAAAGCACTAGTGATCCAAAAAGAAATCGGTGACAAAAAAGGAGAAGCATCTGCTTACGGAAATCTAGGAACTGTGTTTAAATCTGTTGGAAAATATACCAAGGCTAAAGAATACATTCAGAAAGCACTAGTGATCATTAAAGAAATCGGTGACAAAGACGGAGAAGCATCAGCTTACGGAAATCTAGGAAGTGTGTTTTTATCTGTTGGTGAATATATCAAAGCAGAAGAATACCTTCAAAAAGCACTTGTGATCATTAAAGAAATCGGTGACAAAAAAGGAGAAGCATCTACTTACGGAATTCTAGGAACTGTGTTTTTATCTGTTAGTCAATATGCCAAGGCTCAAGAATGCCTTCATAAATCACTGGTGATCAGTAAAGAAATTGGTGACAAAAAAGGAGAAGCATCAAATTACGGAAGTCTAGGAAATGTGTTTTTATCTGTTGGTCAATATTCGAAGGCTGAAGAATACCTTCAAAAAGCACTGGTGATCAGTAAAGAAATTGGTGACAAAGAAGGAGAAGCATCAGACTGCGGAAATCTAGGAAGTGTGTTTTTATCTGTTGGCCAATATACCAAAGCAGAAGAATACTTTCGAAAAGCACAAGTGATCATTAAAGAAATCGGTGACAAAAAAGGAGAAGCATCAGGTTACGGAAATCTAGGAACTTTGTTCTTATCTGTTGGTCAATATTCGAAGGCTGAAGAATACCTTCAGAAAGCACTATCGATCAGGAAAGAAATCGGTGACAAAGAAGGGGAAGCGTCAGATTACGGAAATCTAGGAACTGTGTTCCAATCTGTGGGTCAATATACCAAAGCAGAAGAATACCTTCGAAAAGCACTAGTGATCAGGAAAAAAATCGGTGACAAAAAAGGGGAAGCATCAGATTACGGAAATCTAGGAACTGTGTTTTTATCTGTTGGTCAATATTCCAAGGCTGAAGAATACCTTCAAAAAGCACTATCGATCAGGAAAGAAATCGGTGACAAAAAAGGAGAAGCATTAGACTACGGAAATCTAGGAAGTGTGTTCCAATCTGTTGGTCAATATACCAAGGCTGAAGAATACCTTCAAAAAGCACTGACGATCAACGAAGAAATCGGAGACAAAAGTGGTGTTGCAGCTTCATACTTAAATCTGGGAAAACTTTGTCGAAAATTTCAGCTTAATGCTAACAGTCAAGAATTTGTTAATAAAGCACTTGAGATAAGTTACGAATTAGGGGACATTGAAATGCAGTTTAACAGCCACCTTGCCATTGCTCTGAACGCGTTAGTGGCAGGAGGAAGCATAACTGAACTTCTTCGAAATCTGTATGAAAGCATTCAGAAGTGCGAAGAAATGCATGAATTTTTAATGGGGAAAGATCAATTCAAAATTTCTTTTTTCGATGAGCATGTGTCCCCTTACCTTCTTCTTTGTAGGTTGTTGATTGATACAGGCAGTTATTATGAAGCTCTTTACGTTGCCGAGCTTGGACGGTCCAGAGCACTTGCAGACATCCTTTCAGATAAGTACTCTGTGGAAAAAGAGATATCAGTCAACCCACAGTCATGGATTGGTATCGAGAATATCATGGACAAAAATGCCCTTAGTTCCTGTCTTTATGTTTCCTGCGTCGGTAATGATATGTATTTTTGGATTCTTAAGCCAAACAGAAGCGTGGTGTTTCGACAAACGAAACTGAAAGAAAGTGCAGATCAAGTCTTTGGAAATGAAAAAATTGGTGGTTCTCGGGAATTGCGTCAAGAACAATGCGAAGATCGATCATTCTTCTCTTCATACGTAAGCTCCTTGGCTAAATGCCATGCACCTCAGGAGGGTGGCACTGCAACTTTACGTTTGGTGGAAGAGGATAAAGACACTCCATCCCTGGGTGATGGTTACAACATGATCGTTGCTCCTGTAGCTGATTTACTCGAGGAACCAGAAATCATCATTATTCCTGATCCTTTGTTGTACAGAATTCCTTTTGCAGCATTAACGAATGACAAAGTCAAGGAAGAAACAAAGTACCTATCAGATACACAGAGGATTCGTATTGTCCCTTCCTTGACGACTCTAAAGTTGATTCAGCTCAGTTCTGCCGACTACCATAGTGAAACCGGTGCGCTGATCGTAGGAGACCCTGAAGTTCGTGATGTATACTACCAAGGAGAACTTCTGGAATTGGAGCCATTGCCTTGGGCAAGAAAGGAAGCACAGATGATTGGGCGACTGCTTGGTGTTAAGCCTTTGGTGGGAAATGATGCAAGAAAGCACACAGTCCTAGAAAAAATGCCGTCAGTAAGTCTCATTCACCTTGCTGCTCATGGTGATGCCGAACGTGGAGAAATTGCTCTTTCTCCTATAAGCTCGTGCGGTACTCCTCACGAAGAAGACTACTTATTGACAATGGCTGAAATTTCACAAGTTCGACTGACTGCCAAGCTGATTGTTCTCAGCTGCTGTCACAGTGCAAGAGGCCAGATTAGAGCTGAGGGAGTTGTTGGAATCGCCCGAGCATTTCTAGCATCAGGTGCACGCGCCGTGCTGGCAGCACTGTGGGCTATAGATGACAAAGCTACTATGCAGTTCATGAATCGTTTTTACGAGCACCTTGTTCATGGTGAAAGTGCAAGTGAATCGCTTCACCAGGCTATGAGGTGGATGAGGGAGAATAACTTTTCTGACGTCAGGCTGTGGGCGCCGTTTATGCTGATTGGAGATGATGTGTCATTTAAAGGTTTGTATTTGATACCGTTATACCGGTTTTTTTTTAGCTATTTTGAGTCAAAGTCTGTAAAGTGAATTGCTTGGTTTTAAAAATTGTTTTACGGGAGTTAATGTTTCGTTAGTTTCTTAATTCAGTGCGTTTTTGACCCTTTTTATTACGTTTTTGAAGAATATTTGGTACAGGATGCTCCGATCTGGGGCCCGTTTCTCGAAAGGCCCGATGACTTTTCGGGTCCGAAGGCAAATTTTGAAATCAAAACCTGTTTAATAGTAGCACAGTTCCTAGCTCACAACCGACAGTACAGTACAGTAACCGACAGTTTCATTGTATCGATTTCAAAATTAATGACACTTTGATCTTGAATGCAAAGACGGCAAACATAAAACAGCTTTTTGGGCCCGAAAAGTTTTCTGGACTTGACTTTTGAGAAACGGGCCCCTGTTTACACAGTAACTAGAATTTTTAAGCCATAGAGAAGAAAAGTAAGTTGTCTTGAGGGTGTACGTAACAAAAGAAAAGCGTTGCATGCATTTTAAAACAAATTCTTCCGGGGGAACCAGAGCCACAGAATAATTAGTGGCGGGCGGGAGTTAACAAGCAGAGTGGAAGATCCCGTGGGTACTTAATCTAGCCCAGGTAGCTGAAGAAGCATTTGATTTCGTTATTTCTATTTTATTCAGATATTTCTCTGGCAAATGCGCAAAGGGAAAATACTTCTTTGCCGTTTTCGTGACTTTAGCGGAGTGGTTTTCGTCATCAACCGCGTCTTATTTTGCTCGTTCCGGGGGGAAATCGTAAAATTGAGTTTTCCCCCAAGAAAACAATTAACTCGACTCATTTGGGTTTTACAATAGGTAAAGTGTTTACGGGGAAAAGGCCAGTGAGGCTGTCGGTTTTATGGAATAATAAGAGGATATAAGGGAAAATACTAATACAAACACACCAATGTAGTGCAAAAATGTATCAGTCATCCCGAATGTTCCCATGAGACGCTACTCTCCTGGATATCAATCTCCTGCTTCATGATATATGATAAGTATGCAAATGTAAAACAGAGGAAATTATAATCAAGTATTTAACATGAAAGTGGTTCGGTGAGCCTTTTATTTCTAGCGTATAAATGCGGTTTCCTGCGAGTGTAAAAGTCTTGCAACCGGTTTGATTTTTGAAAAAAATCTGTGCAGTAAAGACATTCAAGTACAAAATACTTGTAACGAACAAAAGAAAAGGAAGCATGTTGATCGATGGCTAAAACAAATCGAAGAATATGCGCGAAAGATAGCCGTCATTATCAGTTTTTTCTATTTGCAGGTGCCTTTGATAAGAGCAGTTCAGCAGATGACGAAGGAGCTACGGAAACAAAGAACTTGTGAACTGAGTAGTCAAATCAATTAACTTGACAAAAATGTTTTAGTAAGTGCTTACCTTTCAACTGCTATAACAACTGTACATAACTGTGTATACCTGGGATCCTCTGTGAAACCGCAAAGTGGTAAAATGGTCCTTTTCAGTTCAGGCGCTACGTTAGAGGTGAAGGTGAAGCATGAGCTGAGGGAGGGATAGGCAGGACCAGCAGTAGGCAGGATCTGTCCAGAACTAGTCGTGTGCAAATCAAGACGTCAAACTTGTATAGACTCCTAATCGTACTGGTCGCACAGCTCCTTTCGTTCCGAATGATTCCTGCTACGCGTCAATCGTAAGCTTCACGCTCGCCTCAAACGGACACAGTCACTTCCATGAACACGAGCCGCCTCACTTTGGTTAGCCTTGCCTGGTAGGAGTCGAAATGGGAAGGGAAAGGAGGCCAAAAAAAGGGAGGGGATTGGGCAGAGAAGGAAAGGGACCTGCTATAAGGACCTCCTTTTCAAATTTTTATTGGTGAAGCCACAATGAGTAACTTATTGCCGTGCATTAGGGAGAAACATGGTCTGGCTGTGTAACTGACTAAATTTCTTTAATAGAATCTTACATGATCTTAATCATAACAGCTTTTAAATAGAGTTTATTGAGAAATTGTAGCGATTTTCTCGCTGATATTTAATTTCTATTTGGTTTGCAAAAGTGAGTAAGCTTCTTATTATGACGTTTACAAGAATAAATGTAAACTCTCGTAAATAGTAGAGAAACAACCATAATGCAGGTATCAAAGGAAATGTTGTTTATTGGAAGCAGAATCTTTTCAACTGTTTAAAACGAGGTTAAAGTCTTTTTTAAGTATGTAAATATATAAATAGTGATAGGTAATAATTTGACGTATTTTTATTCTTATTTAGGAAATGCTATAGGGTAGACCTCGTGTTTCCTTTTCATGATGTATTTTATTGTTATTTTCTTATCGTCTCGTTTTTGTATTTTAATTTACATACTTTTGCATATTGTTAAACATCATGAATAATCCAGTATTGTATTGTACAAGCTTTCGAAGATGAAAACTGCGCCAGTCAAGAAGCGACTTGACTGTTTGATGAAGGGCAGGACCAAAAGTTTTGTTCATTTCATTTGTCGTTTTTGCTGAGCAACGTACAACAGTAAATAGTACGTTTTACCTGATTGTGACATCATTTGAAAAAAAGCTTCTCGACTTGACGGTTTCAGATAAACAGAGTAAATTCACCCATGGAGAGGAACGCCCCTACTTGTGTTGGTCACGTATCGACAATTGCGCCTTCCACGAAGGATACACTTTGGTTTGATCTCATTTCCAGTAGAGATCTAGGCTTAGGTAATGAACGCAAGTCTTTTGTTGAATACATGTATAGACCTCTGCGCGTGGATAATTTTTTTATTTGCCCAAGATCATTCATTAACAGTAGTGACAGTATTGAGCGGAAAGTTTTAGAAGCCTTTCTAGGCTTAATTAGAAGACTCCCATTACTATACTTTAAGATTTGAACAACTCAGACGATGTATGAAATTATGTTCTCCCCCGTTTTTGTTTGGGGAGTGTTCCAGTCTTTTGCCCTGCCCTTTCGAACTTGAAGTAACCCATAGGGCTTACAAGTTGTTATTTTTTAACAGAAAGTATGTTTTATTCCGTGTCTAAGCGTAATGTACTTTTGTATACATTTTTACACAAAGTATTTTATACCTTTAGCAGTGGTAACTAAAGGTTGATTTCCACTGACGTGTTTTTGGCTACGCAGGTTAACGCACGTAAATTTTGATCACGTAAATAATAAAAATAGACGCAAGATGAAAAAGTGCTGAGCTTTAAAGAGAACATGAGCGAGGTTGATTTTTTTATCCTTACGAGCGACCTTTCTTGCATTGCCTTTTTTTTTGCGAACGTAAATTTTACGTACGTACGCACGTAAAAATTACGCGACAGTGGAAATCAACCCTAAGAGACGAGTTTTTTAAAACTCCCTACTCCAGAAACTATAAGGGGAATGGGTACAAGCTTTCGGTGCAACGATGTCTGGGATAGTTTGGGTGGATGGTATCCAAGGCAACCATTAATCAGTTAACTATCCCAAAACTCATTGCGCCGAAAGCTTATACCCAATTTCCCTATAGTTTCTGGAGCAGAGAATAAAGGGAACCTAGGCCAATTCCGAGTTCCCTCAAGTGAGACATCTTAATTATGGAATACATTTTCTTTCAGAAACCCCCTCATTTTAAGGGAAGGTTTCTTCATTTGGCCTCATTTTGAAAGGGAGGATTTTGGAACTCGGAAATGGCCTTTTAAAGGACCAGTGTACAAGTGTCATATTTTGTAACCAAAATGTGTTTATTAACAATATTTTGTCGGTGCCTTAAAACGTTTGGCAATAAAGAAACGTTAGTATTTAACCTGTCTAATCTCAATTCAAATGCCCGGCACTGAAGTTTTATAATATGTACATTTCATGGATGTGTTAAAATTCTGTCCAAACATATTAATGTACAATACTGGTGAAGACGACAGAAAGCTGTTTTTCGCAAAGGACGTTAATTCATAAATAATACAACTTTAAAAGTAAATATACAAAGCCTCGTCCAGCAGGGATGCGCCCTTTACAAAGGTAGTCAACAGGTGCGTCAAGGCGTCGGCCGATCAAGAAAGAGCTCGTTGCCCAAGTGCCCATTGAAAGCGCCGAGGGGGGGAGGGGGGGGGGGGGCAAGAATGAACAGAAGGGGTGTTCCTAAAAGCTTCCATTCCATGGTGTGATGGTCCATGTGATCTGTTGTCTACTAATGTAATCAGGGACGTAGGCGGATATAATCAGTCAAGAGCTTGAACAAATCCGTTACATGCAGTCTAAGAGTCCGCGGTTGTACGTCTTAGAGGAGTCATATTAAATTTATTAAATAATAAGTCTGAAGTTTCAAAGAAAGAAAAAAAAGCCATGTCGCTGTCAGTATTTTACCATTGTATTTGGACTCGTCGCTATGGTAGCGGTCTGCCGTCTGACTCGTTTATCACCATTTCATTTCGCCATTTCCCAGGTCGTTCTTTCAAGACCATGACGCTTAGTTGTCCGAATTTTCCCTAACAGGCCTTCATTAATGAGAAATACAACCAGGAAACAGCCATCAGACATCTGCCCGGCATCACTTTGTGAAACTTGTCTGTAACGTGAGCGTGGTTCGTTCCTTTACTTTACCCACTCCAGCATGATTCACACGTGATAACATCCATGAACATAAATTTCAACCAGAGACAAACGACTGGCGCCCACTTTAAGCATTCAAACGGTAAATACACGAAAGAAAATCTTGATGAGTTTCTTACGTTGACACGGTAACCATACTAGAAACATGCGCGCGTGAGTACACACTCAAGGCTGGTCCTACGTCTTTCCTCACATGTTCGCTGAATCGAATTACAGCTTCGGATGATGCGGTGTTGACGCTAAGCAATTATTAGCCGAGGAATGCATGGATCATCTTTCCTCTGTAACTGAGGTCTTTCAGCATGCTGTGAGGGAAAGCACCAAGTATATTGTTCACTACCAGAGAAAAACTTTTTTAAACACAGTTTAGCCTTAATTATTCATAAAAGAATAGAAAAAAGTTCTTATATGTG